TCACAGTCTGAGTAACTCACCGAGATCAGCAGTTTTGTTGCTATTGTTATTTTGTTTTGTTTTTATTCATCTATTTATTTTATATCCTGGCTGCAGGCTCCCTTCCATCCTCCCCTCCTAGTCCCTCTTCTCCATTCCCTTCTCCCAGCCCTCAGTTCCTTCCTGCTCTGACTCCATTCAGGAAAGGGAAGGTCACCCATGAGTGTCAACAAAATACAGCATACCAAGTTGCAGTAAGTCTAAGCACCTCCCCATATATTAAGGCTGGGCAAGGCAACCCAGTTTGAGAAGCAGAGGCCCAAAAGCTAACAAAAGAGTCAGAGACAAGCTGGGAGCTGGTGGCGCACGCCTTTAATCCCAGCCCTCAGGAGGCAGAGGCAGGCGGATCTCTGTGAGTTCGAGGCCAGCCTGGTCTCCAGAGCGAATGCCAGGATAGGCTCCAAAGCTGCACAGAGAAACCCTGTCAAGAGAAAAAAAAAGTCAGAGACAGCCCCTGAAACTGCAGCTTTAAAATATTAAAATTCCATAAATGAGTAATTTGTAAGTTTCACATTGTATGCCATGCTGGATAGCAGATAAAATCTCTGCTGTCTCACCAGGTCCTGTCCTGGAGATGAACTTTACCACTGTCCAGTGTGTCTGACCCTTAACTGCCATCTGCATACCAATCATCTAGATGCTTTCCCCTTGGCATGGGGAGGTAGCTTGGTGGTAGAGTGCTCATCTGGCATGCACAGGCCCGGGTTCCATCTCTGCCCAACACAGCAAAAGGAGAGGTGCTTCTTGGTTACCAGACCAACACCACAATATCTCAGTGCTTATGTTTGAGTCACCCTTGTTCCATGTAATAATTACTCCAAAGCTAGAGAGAAGTGATGCTGGCAATTTTATTAAAGAATCTTGTATTAATTTTGTTCTATATTCTAATTAACAATCTCTTACTGAGCCTGATTTATAAGCTAAGCTTGATTAACATATATAAGTGGGAAAAACGTAGTATATCTATGCCTCAGTGATAAAGGGGGTGCTATTGTAACAACATTTAGCATAAACTGGCTACTGTATGCCAGGTACTATTTTAAGCACTTCACGCCTGTGTTCTAATTTAATTTTCTCATACTCAAAATTCACAAAAATGAGGCAAGCCTGGGATTCAAACAAAGACATATAGGTTTTAGAGTCTTCACTCTTAAATACTATGAGGCCCTTGAGTGGTTGCATGGTGATAGTTCACCTGGAAGGCAAAATTCAAAATCAGTGCTATGAGCTGAGGATTGAGACCTCAAGATTCCTAGGATGGAACTCTAACCTCCAGCATGATAGTATTTGGAGGTGGGGACTTAGAGGTAATTAGCATATTGGATACATGATCTCTGTGTCACTTGAAGTCACAATCAGAAGACTGCAAACCAGAAAGAAACCCTCACCAAGAACCAAGCTATGACCTCAGATTCCCAGTCCCTGGTACTGTGGGACAAAGTGCTGAGCCACCAGTCTGCAGTATGTATTGTAGCAGATAGAGTGACTACGAAGACCGTCAGTAGGGTGCTCTTGAGAAAGCTGTCCAGTCAGTAAAGTGTCTACCACACAAACAGGAGGACCTGAGTTTAATACCCAGCACCTACATACAAAGCTGGGCATGACAGCACATGCTTGTAACCCCAGAGCCATGAAGACAGTAACGGAGAGGTCCCTGGGGCTTGCTGGCCAGCCAGACTCAGTCACTGATCCCCAAGGGTCCCAATGAGACCTTGCCCCAGAAATCAAGGTGGATGTGACTTACCTCCTCTGGCCTTTAAACACACACACACACACACACACACACACACACACACACACACACACACACGTGTGTGCCTGCGCCCCACACACATACATGCACACACATATACACATAAAACGGTATACACATGAGCACACACAAAAACAAGACAGTTGGAAAATGATGGATTATCTCCAAATATTTGAAAAGCTCTACATGGAATAAGAATTAAGCTTATTCTTTATGAGTGAAAGAGATGATTAGGAAAGAGAAGGGACTCTTTCCTGCCACGTTTATGGAATCAGAGTTCTATAGGAGAAAGAAGAAAGAGCAGAGAAACAGCCAGAGCACCGAGTTCTATCATTTGAGATTGAACATAGGGAGTTAGAAGCATGCAAGATGATTGAATGAGATTCTTTGAAGCCTCTCCAGTTCTCAAGAGTCTGCAGAATCTTGAGAACATAGGCTAAGAGCTCAGGCCTGAGGTCTGAATGCTAAGGATGCTTAACCTCCTTGAAAGATATTTTTCACCACCTTCTTAACTCGGGGACATTTTGGAGCTAGCATTTGCTTTTGTAATATTCACTTTTTTGTTTTGTCTGTGACTGTGTGTATGCTACTGTGTGCATGGGTGGGGTGTGCATATGCATACACATGCATGAAGAGGCCTCAGGTCACTGTTGAACGTCTTTTCTCAAATGCTCTCCCACTAAACCTGAGCTCATGGATTCAGCAGACTGGGTGTCCAGCAAGCCTCAGGGATGCACTTGTTTGCAACTCCTCCCCTAGGTTGAGGGTTACAAGCACATGCTGCCTGCCCAGCTTTTTACATGGCTTCTGGAAATCCAAATTCATATCCTGGCACTTTACAGCGGATGCTGAACTGACTTCCCAGTCCCCATCTGTAATACCCTAAGACTGCACACCTAGATACCCTTCATGCTGATGCCAATACAGCACCCCTCCTCTAGAACGTTCCCACTCATCCCTAATACCCACATCACTTATCTTCCCCAGTCATGCTCCATCAGTCTCCTGCAGCAGCTACAGCCACTGATTGCCACAATGGAGATAGCTTAAAGCAATAGAAATACATTGTCTCCTGTTTCCAAAGATGTTAGCATGTCCTGGTCCCTGACTGCTGCTGGAAAGAGAGTCTCTCTCACTTCCTCCTAGCTTCCACCAGCCAACCTTGATCCCTAATCTTGACGTGAAATCACTCATACCATGTCTGTATCATTGAGTGTTCTCTTCTGTAAAAAAATAGTTTAAAATTTTGTTTTTATGTGTATGGTTATTTTTGCCTGAATGCAGCCCACAGAGACAAAAAGGAGAACAATAGATACCCTGGGACCCAGAGTTACAGATGGTTGGGAGTCAACCATGTGAATGCTGGGAACTGAACCTTGGTCGTCTGGAAAGACAGCTAATGAATGCTCTTACCCACCAAGCCATCTATCTAGCACCTCCTCTCTTAAAAGAACATCGGTCATATGGGATTATGGGTCCATCCTAATTCAGTATGACCACATCTGAAGTAATTATACCTTCAAAGATACTATTTCTAAGTAAGGTTCAGTTACAGTTATTAGGAACTAAGATAAGACTTTCGTACCCTTAAGGTGGAAGGACATAACTGATTCTTGCAAGTTGTCCTCTGACCGCCGCAAGTACACCCTCCCACAAGACACACATACATACATACACACATATATACACACACATACACATGCACACACATAAACACACAAACTTACATACATATGCACACACATACACATGCACACACATACACACACATACACACATATATACACACACAATACACATGAACACACATACAAATGCACACACATAAACACACAAACTCACAAACATATGCATACACATACACACAAATATGAAAACTCACACACACACACACACACACACACTCACTCACACACACCCTCCCACGATCACTGCTCTGTGGGCTTTTTAGAACTGCATTTTATCCAATCATAGTAGCACACACCTTTAAACTCAACACTCCGGAGGCAGAGGCAGGTAGGTCTCTGTGAGTTTGAAGCCAATCTAGCCTACAGCACTAGTTCCAGGGCAGCCAGGGCTACACCGAGAAACCCTGTCTCAAGCTGCATCTTCACTCCACAAATGTTTACTGTGTCTATTATGAACCATGCTCCACTTGGAGCAAGAAAGACAAATCACACTCACAATTCTTGCACTCAGTAGATTATCTATTTTGCATAAAGACCTATAATAAAATGTGGCCATTTAAAATTGAAGCCAAATGCCAGTTGCATATAGGGATGCAAACACACTGACTTATATGTGCATATAAAACACTGTCTAACAGATATTTTATGAATGAGCATTGACACAAACAGTAAAACAAAAGATAAATCATTCTATTTCATCTAGCTAATGCTTGTTGGCATATTTATCAGAAACTAAAAATTTGGTTTCACTTGTTCCTTGTAAAACTTTATTCTAAGCAGGGTGATCATGATGCAAGCCTTCGATCCCAGCACTTGGGAAGCAGAGGCAGGAGGATCTCTGTGAGTTTGAGGCCAGCCTGGTCTGCAGAACTAGTTCCAGGACAGCCAGAGCTACACAGAAAAACCCTGTCTCAAAGAAAAAAAACTTTATTCTATAGCACTTGAATACTAACTCAAAGTTGTCCATCTCCAAATCTTCAAGTAACATTCTAAGCACCAAACTCTAAGAGTTTGGAGGTTGGAGAGATAACTCAGTTCATAAAGTGTTTGCCACACAAGCATGGAGACTTGAGTTTAAACCCCAGGAGTCATTAAAAAAAAAAAAAAAAACAGCCAGGCAAAGTGGTATATGCTCATACTTCTTCCAGTTCTGGGGAAGTGGAGACAGGGAGATTCCTGGGCCTTGCTGTTCAGCCAGTCTAGCCTAATCTGTAAGCCCAGACCCCAGGGAGAGATCTTTTCTCAAAAAAAAAAAAAAAAAAAAAAAAAAAAAAAAAAAACCATGGTAGCCAGCTGGCCATCCTGGAGACAACACCCAAGGCTAACCTGGGGACTACTGGTCTCCACACTCATGTGTGCTTGCACACTTGCACATGTGCACAAACATACATCCACACCCAGAAAATAAAGGAGGGAAGGCAGAAAGAAAGGATAGTTTGGGAAAATATATTCCTGGTTTTAAAATTAAATTCAAGCTTGTCACTAAAGATGAAAACATCTGCATTCTGTTTGCTTTCTAGGGCAGTGTCAGCTCCTCCCAGCCTCCGTTTGTCCAGATGCCAGGTGAGACCTTTCATTCAACAAGCAATTCACTCATTTTTAAGCAGCAACTGAGCATTTGTGTTTTGTTTTCCAGTGTGGAGAACCACCAAGCCCAGAGCTATGCACACATTATGCAACTAGTCTATCACCAAATTACATCCCAGCCAAGAGCTTCCAATGTTTTGATAACTGCCTGACATCACTTTCTCATTTTTGCCTCTTTGAAAAAACAATATCAATGAAGACAAATCTCATTCAATCATCCTGAACTTAGTCCTTTAGGTCTTGAGAGGTGGGGACCTCTTTTACCCTGCCTGGCAGTAGCTTTTAGGTAAAAGTGATAATAACCAGGCTCCCGGTACAGTGTTAAAACATCTAAAACTCTGACACCATGATCTGATAGACAATGTGCCCAGGGTAGACATAAAGAAAGCGGAACAATAGGGGTGGGGACTTCATTTATTAGGTACTTTCCGTGGTACATCACACACTGAGTTTGGCGTATTGTATTCATGTCAGTTTCGTGTGTCTCAATGCCATTCATTGTCCTGTGAGAATAGGAAAGGAATATTCTTAATAGTCATAAACACCTTTATACACACAGCCCCAGTCCCCTGCCACTATTCCTTCCAGATCTCAAACTCCAGAGTGATTCAGCACTTTCCAAATTGCATAAGAAAAGGAGTTCCAAAACATCCCAAAACCTAATGTCCCTGCTGTATTTTCCCACCATGTTTACTTCCATTTGAACGTGCTTGCATCTGCTCTTTTGTACTGAAGGGAGTTTCTGCTGGTTTTCCTGCCTTATACAATGTTTCTCCTCTTTTTAAAGGAGAAATAGACACACACAGGAAAGCAGACGGCTTTACTTCATAATTTTTTTCCCCAGGAAAGTGTGTTTATAATGAAAACTGTCACCCCAGAGTTCAAATGTACAGACAGACTGGAAATTGGTTAATTTAAAATGGAAGTGTAGTGGTGAGTCAAAGCATACTAAAAGGTTTGGTTGGAAACTTGGTTGCCTCCCCTGAATGAATACATTTGCATGGCATATTGAATGCAGCATTCCACTCGTGGGTTTACAGAGCAGACAGTGCATGAGGACTGATCTACCAACAGGGAGCTTTTAAACGCCCCTGCCAAGATAGCTGTAGCAGTGACAGAGTAAAGAGAAAAATATAAAACCCCACGTTGGTTGGAAGGGGCTCAGGCTCTCACTGTGTCCAAGTCACCCAGGGGAAAGAGTCTGGCAAACTTTGTTTCTCTTCTCTCTAAAGAATAGACGAGGATGGGACAACACATTATGTAACTCCCTGTTGTTGAAGGAAGCGACAAGAGACAGAGATGGCATCTTCTCCACATCTCAGAGCCTTTGCAACCTTCCTGTGTTGGTCTTGGCGAATGAGATCCTACCCTCTACCATATGGATAGATAATCAATAAATTAGACAGACCTGTGCCCCACGCAGCTTCTCAATAACTATCCATTTCCTGCAGAGACGACTGCAGGGTCGGAGGGTGTTGTGCATTTCTCTTTTCCTGAAACCATTCCATTGCTCCTTCTTTAAATAAGACTCTGGCCAGTTTCAGCTTTTTCCCTCTGTTCCTCTTAAAACTCTACCAAGTTTACTCTTCATGTCTGACGAAGTGAATGAGGGATCCAGTATGGCCACGAGGGGGCAGCAAATAACACTAGAAGTGCAAAGCCAGAAATATCTGGAGGAGAGGTTGTTTTTTCCTTAAAAACCGACTTGCTGAAACTATACTAAGCCAGGACAAGCCACCTACTTATTCCAGCTAGGTGTGAGACATGGTGGTGAAGATCAGTGTGCAAAAGAATCAGAAGACAGTACACCCGTCCCCGGCTTGAGGTGGGCCGAGCGTCAGTCATCTTATCTAGAGGGACATTACCTCATGTAAGAAGCCCAGAAGCAGCCACTTGGAAACTGTCCTATATGTTATGGGATGTAGTTCCAAGGCTGTGAAAAGATGTTTATAGTTCATTGAAAGGCATAGATTCCAAACATTCCAGCTTCATCCTGTTGCTGCAACAAACACCATGACCACAAGCAAGTTTTAGGAGGAAAGGAAGTATTTCAGTTTCCACATAACTCTCCATCATTGAGAGGAGTCAGGTCAGGAACTCGGTGCGGGAGCCTGAAGCAGAAACCATAGATGAATTTTGATGGCTGGCTTGCACTTAGTTACTTTCTTATACAGCCCAGGGCCACCTGCCCAGGGAATTGTCTCCCCCAATGGGCACCCCCTATATCAATTAATAATCAAAGCAATCCCTCACATACATGCATACAGACCAACCTAATAAAGACTTATTTGAAACTCTCCAAGTGGTTCTAGGCTATGTCAAGTTGACAGTTAATGCTGACTAGGATACCAAGGGGCTCTTTAGCTTACCTCTCTATGTCCCTCCTAGAATTATCTGGACTGGAAGATACTTGATAAATGGTTATCTGAGAGAAGTTATTGTACATCTAACATGAATTCATCCCTAAAATCAGAGTGAACTTTAAGCACATCTGTTATTTGGGCTGAAACAGCGGCACTGGAATATTACGTGCCATCCAAGACAAGTATATTTCTTCACTAGCGATGATGTCAGGGGCATGTAAGTCCTATTTCTTCACAGGATGCTCTGAACTTTCTACATGAAACTTTTGCCCATTTCTCTTTCATTCGGCCACAGGATCACCAGTCATGTCAGGTTACTACGGTGTCAGGAGATCGTTCCTGTCTGATTCCGACTTCCATACCAGCAAGCAGTTCTCAAATGACCTCTACACCTCCAGCATGACTAAGCCCTTTACCTGTGAGTCCTCAGCTGGGCAGAGTCACACAGGCCTGCTGGAGTCCTACCTGGCAGAGCCCTATGGAGACTACCGCCCACCAGCGCTAACCTCCACACCGAGTTCGCTGTTCAGCACCTCAACTCTGCCACCGCTCCTGCCACCTCCGTTCCCCAACGATCCAACTCACTTTGTGTTTGTGAGTACAGCTATTTCATGTGCAGGGAGGAAGGGGAGGCTCTGGTTCCTATGGCCCAGCCCTCATGTATGGTAACCAAGGTGAAGCCAGATGTAACTCACCTGGGGATTCTGGAGGAAGTCGTTCTACTCAAACCTGGAGATGCACAGTCAGGTGGACGCTTCCAAGGGAGCCCTGCTCAAAGATCACGTTAACCAAGGCATCAAAATTGTCTATCTAGGGTTTTGAACTGAGGGCCTGTAAAGGTAGAATTCATGTTCATTTTGTTACTGTTCTGTTTGTTCCCCGGCCCTGTTAGTACAAGACTTCCTCAGGTCTGTGGGCCCCAAGGAACAAATGTTGAAGTCACATCTGGATAGGACTAGACAATGTCCCAAAAGAGATGCACTCAGCTTCATCTTCTGCTTCCTTGCCATTCCCTCTGCTCCAGATTCCTCTGGAAAACACACACACACACACACACACACACACACACACACACACACACACACACCTCGTTGATCCCTCCAAAGAAATAAGTTCAGAAAGATCTAAAAAGGCTGCTAATGCTCCTTTTATAGAAAACTGTAAAGCCTCCTGCCACAAAAGAATGAATCACTGAAGGTGGAATTTTAGACAATAAGGGTGGGTCAGGGAATTAACCTTGTTCTGTGACAAGAACTTTCACGGGCCTTTGTTCATGTGATATTTACAGCGACTCAATTTTGTGCCCCATTTCACAGATGAAGGGCTCAGAGGGTGCTAGGTGGTACAGTGAATGAACTCAGTCCACCCCAGAGAAAGTAGTGTTGAGGAGGTAGGGAGCCCCCTATCACACATCGTTCTAGAGCCTATATCGTTGGAGGACTACTCCTCCCAATGGGAATCATGTATTGCTTTCTGCTGCTTGTGTAAAGAGGAATGCAGGTCCCAGAGTAACACCCTGGAGTAGAAATTAACCCAGATTCCCCTGGCTTGAGTCAAACACCGGAGGGTAAAGCTGCCTGGGAGGTGGGCTTCAGCAGCAGCAGCAGGAGGGTTACGAAGGCTTCGCTCTGGCGACAGCGCTCTATCCTCAGAGCATCAACTAAAGAATAATCTGCATGCCTTTGCCATTCTCCTCAGAGAGACTCCTGGGAACAGACAGTGTCGGATGGACTCAGTCAGCCAGACCCTGTGCCTGCCGATGCCCTGCAGACCCTGCCACCCAGCACCAGTTGCCTCTCCCAGTTGGAGTCAGGAAGCAGCACCCAACACAGGAGCATGGGATGGGGGGCATCCCTTCCTGGAGCTCAACCCTACTCGCTGCATGCATTGGAAGATCTGCACCACACGCCAGGGTACCCCGCCCCATCTTCATACCCCTTCACTTCTTTCATGACAGTGTCAAGTGACCTCCAACCCAAGGTGGTGCCCCTCTCCCCAGAGGAGGGCTCAGACGCATCTTCCCTTCATGATCCTTCACCTTGGACGAAAGAAGATGGCAGCATGGCCTGGGGCTCTTACGAATGCCGGAGAGCTTACTGAGACAGCAAGCCAGAGGACTTCTTCGTTCTTATGGAAGTTGGATTCTGTGTCCACAGATTCTTCTAGGTGTGCTAGTTCAATCAGAACTGGATTTTCAGCTTAAGCCTCAATTCTGTCCAGTGCTAATTGACAATGGCATTCGTGTCTGCTCATATCCACTGTAACACCCCTGCCACTATAATGCCCTTGCAAAACACTACAATGTCAATCAAATACTTGGTGGATCACATTTTAATGAGACAATCTTACAAGAAGGCCACTTTAGAACTTTGGTAACTCATTTTATTCTGAATTTTCTGTTATCTTTAAAGCATCATTTTTGGCACTTGTTATTTTTCTTATATTACATTAAAAACTTTAGCAGATCATAAAACACAACTATTTTCCTGTCTAATTTTTATTAGTTATATACTATGTGTATTTAGCAAAAGAAAAGGGAAATGGTATAATGCAGCTTGGAGCATGTAAAACAAAACTCATACACCATGTATAAAATGTGCACTGTTATACACATTTCCCTTATTACAGAGACTTGTAAAGACCCAGTAAAAAAAAATTGGCACTGGATATAAGTGCTTTATTGTCAATAAAATAAGATGAGGTCAAGAGACTGGCTTTATAAAAGTAGAGTTTTGCCCAGGGTGTCCAAATGCTATTTCAGAATCCCCCACCATAAAAGGCTAATCAATGGCAGCCTCAGTTAAACTAGGCAGAATATGACTAATGAAATAAATTTATAGTCACCAGAGTGCCTTGTGCAATGGGAATCCAATGATCAAAACCCAATTCATATACTTCAAAAATAATGCAGAAGGTAGAACTAGACTATTGCAAGCAACAAACAGGGCACCAAGAGGCAAGGGGGTGGTTGGGGATGGGCACATCGCCAGGCAAGAGTCATCAATAACACATTCAGCATTTTCCAGCTACACAAAGGAAGTCCTCTGTGGCTTGTCATTGAGAGATGGATAGCACGTACCATATACAAATACTGACAGTCTGCCTCCAGTGAGTCTGAGAGGTGTGGATTCCTTTGCTGAGATGAGTAATCTCCACTTTCTGGAGTGGTTACTTGTGGGCCATGCACCTTATAAATGACCTACACACACCTTGACTTTGTGGATGCATAAACCAAGGCCCAGAGGCAACACTGACATGCCTCCTCCAATCTTCTTCCACAATCATTTCTTTACTTCCTTCTCACACCTTTCAGAAAGAACCCTCTGGCCCCTCCTGTGTCCTAGAAGCCAAGACTCTTATTTCCCACCCAGGTCTTAAAACTCCTTTTTGGTCCAGTTCTTCAATAGCATCCCCAAAATTTCCTCTGCTATTGTCTCATTGTTTACCTCAGTTAGGTGTATGGGGACGGGGATCTGCAAATTCAAGTCTGGGTATTAATTCATACTTAGCTGTGAGTAGCAGATGTGTCTCCTTCTCTAGTCTTCTGGTGGTGTTTTCTGTCTAAGCAAACCACCCTAGCTTATAGACTACCAACAGAAATGTTGAAGTTAAAAGCCTTCCTCTTACTTGGACTCAAAGCTCTCTCCTTAGAAAGTATTTTTGTGGGAACAAAGGAACAATGAGCTCTGGTGTCTGTGGTATAACACTCTCACAGGTTCCCTGAGTATGATGTGTTACTTCAATATGCTTGTTCTAATTTGCTTTCCTTTGCTGTGGTAAATACCATGGCCAAAAGCAACGTCAGTTGGTGTGGTCTTTACAGCAGCTTGAAGTCCATCATAAAGGAAAACCAGAGCAAGAACCTGGCGGCAAAGACCATGGAAGGACACTGCTTTCTGGTTTGTTCCCCTATGGTGCTCCCAAGTTTTTGCTTGTATTTATACACCCAGAACCTCCTGCCAAGGGTGACACTACCCACAGTAGACTGGACCATCAAGAAAATATCTCCACAGATTTTTGTGCAGACCAATCTGATAGAGGCATTTTCTCAGCTGAGGTGTCCTCTTTCAGATGATTCCAATATGTGTCAAGCTGACAAAAAACTAACCAGCACATTGCATGAACATTATGCAATGACTCAGATTATGATGGTTAGCATACCAATGACTTCAAAAATTTATCTTGTCTTGGTAGTAAGACATTAAAATCCTTTCTTCAACTATTATAATAAAAATAAGGGAAAATCATCTCTTCTAGGTCTTTTGAGATGTAAACTGTTACTATTGGTGCTAGTCACACTACTGTGCAAAACCTACCTCTCCTAACTATAACTTTGTACCAATGACCAACTTCTTTCCTAGCCTCTCCTCTTCCCCACCTCAGTCTCTATTAATCATTACTTCTATCTCTACAAGGTCAAATTTTATACAATGTACACAAATTAAATTATGTAACACTTGTCCTTGGGCTCCTGACTTATTCCACGTCATGTGTTCCCCTAAGATTCACCTGTATTGTCTCCTGTTTATGGTTGAGAAGTATTTTTGTGTGTGTGTGTGTGTGTGTGTGTGTGTGTGTG